CGGAGAGCAGCGGACTATCTTCTGCTGAGGCTCGCTTAGCTTGAGTGGCGTCGCCACAACAGTAATACCCTCTCCTCACACTCTCATGGCCTCGCCATATCTTGGAGATTTTGAAATTTCGGCCCGAACGGAAGCCACAAAGGGAACACGTGTGCACACAAAAAGAAGATTAATCATTGAATGTCGAGTATTTGAATTGCGTTTTGTGTAAACTAATTCATGCGTGATCGGCCAAGTGCGATATATATATATATTTTTTTTTTTTTTTTCCGGAAATTTCAGAAAAGTCCACTTTCATCTCTGCATATGTGTGACTCAACATTTCAACCAAGGAACTGAGATGCTTTCACAACTATTATTACACATTTCATATCCCGCTTATGATTTTAGCCCAAAAATAAATTCAATCATGTTTTTGTCTCCTCTTCAGTTCTGGTTGTTGTCCTATTGTGTTCATGTTGGAACTGTTTTGCTATGAACATACATATTTACACTTTTTTAGATTTTGGTTGTGTGGCTGTTGATCTTATTTAATAAAGTCCAGTCCTAGAGAGCCGGTATACTGGAGGTTTTACACAGTATGTCTCCCTTCTGCAACACACCTGATTAAAGTGATCAGCTCATCAGCAAGCTCTGAGGAAGTTGGCTCGCGATCCTGATCATTTGAATCAGATGTGTTGGAGCAGAGAGAGGCTATAGGCCCTCAAGGACTGGAGTTGCTCACCCCTGATTCATACTGTATCCCTCATTATAATTTACATATGTTGTCAGGAATACTTAACAAGACTCAGACAGATCCGCTTGCAGAATTTCAATGAGCGCCAGCAGATCAAAGCCAGACTTAGGGGAGAAAAGGTATGTTGATTATATAGACATTTTTACGTGAGATGATTAATTTGAGCTCTTCAGCTTTGAAAATATTTTACTCTCTGATGTGTTTCAGTATGATAGTGATGGTTCAGACAGTCAGGAGTCATCTGAGGAGGCTAAACTGAGGAGGAAAAAGATGGTGGCTTCTAAAGTGAGTCCGCTTGGAGTGAAATAAAACTAAAGATTGTTGATGGAGAGATGATTGTTTAAACTCATGAAGAGTTTATTGAACAATGATGAAAGGGCCAATTTATGGCAATTTGGGAGTGGTTTTTTGAAATGAACATCAATATGGTTTAAAAAATCAATTGAATTGTTATTAATACAGTAATTTAAATGCATTTTCCATAGACGTTAGCATTTTTTTTTCCAGTTCCAAAGAAGTTAGACTCTTTCAGCTCCAGTCTTAAAAATACAATAATCACTTTTAGATAAACCATTTAGAAATGATGATGTACATTCCAGGCCCAAGCTAATGCCCGTGCTGCTTTACTAAAAGAGCAACTTGAAAGGAAGCGAAGAGAGGCTAATGAAAGAGAAAAGAAAGCATGGGATGACCATGTAAGTACTTTCACTCTGTTTTCTTCTGTGCAATGGCTTGGAGATATCTATATGTGTACCGAGTAGAAACCCAGTCTAATCTTGGTGCATCTATCAATTATGGAAGATTGCAGCTCAGGAAGACAGCGTTTGCATGGCAGCTGTACCACCTACCTCTCAACCTACAATTGTCAAAACTTCGTCAGCCTTGCCAGAATCTGAACCCCCGACTCCTGTTATCTCCATGACTGTTGCCCTGAATAATGTTGGAGCGGTTAGTATACATATCAAACAACACTGCAAACTATTGCTCCCTTGTCCTATTCCGTTCAGATTTGCACTTTGTGTTTTGCAGAATGCTCCATTAAAAGAGAATCTGTCTGGCATAGTCAGTCAGGTGTGTTTATTTGTGATCATTATTTTTCAGAAGTTTGCATTTTGAGAGATTACAATTACGTATTTTTTCCCCCCTGGGTTAGAGTGAGAAGAAGCAGATCTTGAACAGGCTTAATCAGAATCTAAAAGCCCCGAGCCCTGTGGATGAAGTGTTGGAGTCGGCACCCACCGCACCCAAAGAGGAGATCCTTGCTTCCCAACAGAAACTGCTTGAAACAGAGAGCCTTCCTTCCATAGAAGAACGAAAGAAATGGGATCCAGCAGAACTGCCTGTACTTCCTACCTCTCAGCCAACCCTGAAAGAATTCTGTACTACTGCATCCAGTGAGTTAATAAGACCAAACTTCTATTCATTTCCATGTAATCGCTCTTTGTGTTGTGTAACGCATAATATACAGCAGAGTGTAATGTGACTAAGTACAGTCATACCTTGGTTTTTGACCAGAATCCGTTCCAGAAGGCTGTTCGAAAAGCGAAACCACGCTCTTTTTTTAAAAAAAAATCTTTATTGAACACGTCTGTTCACCATGCAACGCTAAACGAGGAAGTGTCACTTCCTCGTCTACCCGAGGAAGCGTCACTTACTCGTGAAAGGAAGGCGAGAGGAGTCAAGTGACGCATTCAAGTGCGCTCACTTTGTTCGAGAACCGAAATTCGGTCGTCATCCGAGGCATAAAAAACTCAAAATTTTTGGTCGAAAACCGATTTGGTCGCGAACAGAGACGTTCGAAAACCGAGGTATGACTGTATAATAATTTAAGATCACATGAGACTAATATATATGTACAGTAAATATTATCTCGTGCGGACTCGTGTTTGCGCTGTCCAATTTGTCCTGATAACAGAAATTCCTCATTTGGGAAATGAGCATGGTACATGTCCTTTATGAATCTGCAAGTATGTTGACAAAATGCACGTGTAACAACACAACCAATAAAATACAAAAATATACTGTCCGAAAACTGTTTATATAACAAAAACTGCAATACGGGTGTATCCAAAAAAAATCACAGTAAAATACGTACAGTATTTTAATGTTTATTTTTTTCTGTCTTGGGAAAAAAATGTTTAAAATCATTCACAATTACAGTAAAACGCACGCCCATAAAAACTCACTCACACGTCGTCATTTCGAATCTGATGATCAAAAAACGCAAAGTGAAAATGTGTCTCAGCTCGTGTCTTTCCGTAGCATCGCGTGGGCGTTGCGTGTATTTAAGCTCCCGCGGCATGACGTCTCAATCCGGGTTACGGGTAGTGGAATTTCCGCTTACGTAAGTTCCGGTAACATGTAATATCGTAGTCAAAATGTTAATGCATAGGTTTTTGTTCCGGGTGAAGTAAATTTCTTTTCATAGAATTCCGGGGATGGGAATATTTACTGTATAAAATATTTGAACCTTGACTTTATGATCTTTGTTTACAAGTCTTCATTATCAGTTGTTGCTGCCTTTTTACATGATCACTCATAGAAAATGTTAGTGCTTCTGTCTTACTGTGAGTTTAAAGAAATATGTATTTTATTTGTTCCCCTGATATTCACCTGGCTACTTCACTGTCTCCAGGAGATCGCCCACCTTCTGGTGGAGACAGGAAGAAATGGGATGAGGGACTTCCATTTGTCTTCTCTGTTGCCCAACAAACTCTCGAGGAAACATGCATTCCAACAATCGGTGAGTTACTGTCAAATCTCTATTTATGCTACATGGTTCAAGTGAACCAATTCTCTTGCGGGGTTTTCGTAAATGTACTTTTAATCCTAACCTTTCAAAGACAAGCCACATAGATCAATTCAGTCATCGCTCACAAGTGTACTTACAGCAGTCTACACAGCATAAAGTCACTTAATTATTTGGTATGGAAAGTTCACCTGACTCCGATCACTTTTTCTCAGGAATGGTGTGGCAGGTTGTTTCTGAAGCAGGAGCTCTTTTTTTTATCACCATCTTTCAATTTATGAACTTCCTGGCAAGCTCAGTTGCACGATGCACCAGGAACTTCACATCTCTCTCCTTCACTCTGATGCATGTCTGATACATTGAAGCACATGACCCTTCTACTGTGTTGATCATGTTAGAAAATACAGAGACTGGCCATCTTCATCTTCCGGAATGCACTATCACACCTTCTCATCAAACCTGTCCATCCCCACACTTCATGGTGTTGTTGTTAAAGATGGTGTTAGCCTTTCTCTTGCTATTATTCCCAGGCTCAACTTTGCTGTGCAACGTGCTAAATTGGCTTAGCTTTTTTTTTGTAGATAGAACAAGAAACGTGAAGACGCATTTTTATATTAAATAATAATATAAACCGCATGAAAATACATCACTCACCATGCCACTAAATCATGCTTGCCGCATTTTGTGCAGAGCTGGCTTCGTGCATTATTTCTTTTGTAGTCACTTTTCAAAATGTTTTTCACCCATTTACAGTTGCAAGAAAAAGTATGTGAACCCTTCGGAATTACCTGGATTTTCTGCTTAAATTTGTCATTAAATGTGTTCTGATCTTCATCGTCTGCTTGAACTAATACCACACAAACAATTATATGTTTTTATGTTTTTTTATTGAACACTGTGTAAACATTCACAGTGCGAGGTGGAAAAAGTATGTGAACCCTTAGGCTAATGAGCAAATTGGAGTCAGAAGTCAGCAACCTGGAGTCCAATCAACGAGACGAGATTGAAGATGTTGAGTAAACCTGCCCTGCCCTATTTAAAAAAAAAAAAAAAAAAAAAAAACACCAGTTTGGAATTTGCTACTCTCAAGGCGCATCATCTGATGTGAACTATGCCTCGCACAAAAGAGCTCTCAGAATACCCACGATTAAGGGTTGTTGACATGCATAAAACTGGTAAGGGGTAAAAGCCTTGATGTCCATCAGTCCACGGTGAGACTAATAATCTATAAATGGAAAAAGTTCAGCACTGTTGCTACTCAAACTAGGAGTGGCCGTCCTATGAAGATGACTGCAAGAGCACATTGCAAAATGCTCAGAGAATCCTAGTGTCAAAGACTTACAAAAATCTCTGGCATATGTCAACATCTCTGTGGAGGAATATGCAATGCGCATAACACTGAACAAGAATGGAGTTCATGGGAGGACACCACAAGGGAAGCCACTGCTGTCCAAAAAAAACATCGCTGCATGTTTGAAATTTGCAAAAGATCACGTGAATGTTCCCCAGCACTACTGGCAAAATATTCTGTGGACAGATGAATCCAAAGCTGAGTTGTTTTGAAGGAACACACAACACTATGTGTGGAGAAAAACAAGCACAGCACACAAACATCTAAACCTCATCCCAACTGTAAAGTATGGCATCATGGTTTAGGGGTGCACTCAGGACCTGGACAGATTGCTGTCATTGAAGGAAAAATGAATTCCGAAGTTTACCAAGACATTTTGCTCAAAAGCTTAAGGCCATCTGTCCACCAATTGAAGCTCAACAGAAGATGGGAGATGCAACAGGACAACGTATGCTTAATGTTTACACGGTGTGTTCAATAAAAATACATTAAAACATATTTTTGCGTGGTTTGTTCAAGCAGACTGTATTTGTCTATTTTGTGACATGAAGATCAGAACACATTTTCTGACCAATGTATGCACAAATCTAGGTAATTCCCAAGGGGTCATATACTTTTTTCTTGCAACTGCATATGAATAAACTGGGAGTACTGTAAGTTTTTTATTCTTTCATCTGTGCGACCCCTCGTGGCCCGGTCCAATGTAGCTTGCAGCCCGGTGGTTATGGACCAAGGCATTCCAATTTTATTGTTGGAAAGCTGCAGTTGTGTTTCTTAGATGTTTGCAAGTTTTGTAACATCCACATCTGTGATTTGTGATTAGATGAGTGAGTTGAGCGGTAGAGACTGTGAAAGGATGAAAAGTGAGTGTCTAGCCACTGTCATTGGGATGAAGGCTGCTCTTCAGGGCTGTCGCTCCCTATATGCAGAGGACACACAGTCACCATCGTACATGAGGGTCTCACTTGCAGAGGGGTGCATTGTGATGGCATTGGGTGAACATTTCACTTTTACATATGATAATATCCCGATCATTGCTTTTACAAGTCAGTGACATAGCTGGGAAGTCATTGTTTGTTGTATGGGCCAGAGTAATGGTTTAAAAAAAAAAAAAAACGGAATACATACAGTACATCATCGCGTGCACGTTCGCATGCACGCAATGATGTACTGTATGTATTCCGTTTTTTTTTTTTTTAAACCATGACTCTGGCCCACACTACAGTATTGTGTTTGTGCTTGCTTGCTCACGTACACTGACATGCTTCCCTCAACGCATTTCATTCGTATGGCCTGTAAAAATGCCAGACAGTTTTTCACGCCAGCCCAACCATGCTTGCATGAGAAACATACGTCCCAGGAATATGCACTTTCTCATCCAATTATCCGTCAATAAGTAAGTTTTTGCTACTTTCCGTATTGAGGTATTTTATGCAGTTATGGTATCAAAGCTAAAATGTTGGGATCGTGACAACATTACAAAGAAGATTGAAGAATATAAATTAATATGCAGCACAAATCCATTTTAAGAGCGGGGTTAGATTCCCTGATAAAATGTGTTTGTTTACATTCTCAGAACAAACAGTGGGTGAGGTGGTACAGATGGGTGTGCTCCAGGGTGAAGGTCAAAGGAAGCTTTGGGGAGTGATTCCAGACTGTCAGATACTCAAAGTACTTCATGAGGCAGAAGTTCAGCCACTCACCCAGCTGTTGGAAACGGTCAGTGTCTGCGAAGAGGCTTCCCCAAGCCCTGGTTAGTATACACTCCCACTTGAAAAAGCACATGGGGTTTCAATTCCACCAGAATTCCAAGGCCAATGCTGATGAAAACATTTGCGAGATCATCATAAAAAAATCAATTATAATTACTACTACAGTGAAACTCCTCTACAACGAAACCTACATGGGCGAAAATACCCCCTACTGTGAAAAAATCTTCATGCATTAAAACCATTCCCACTCTCCTGCCCCCCATACAACGAAAAAAAAACCCTGTTACGTTATACGAAATCTTTTTCTCTGCTCTTGCCTCGCGAAGATATTCACTACAACGAAGTCTAATCCAACAGTGACCTCTACTGCTTCGTTCGGAAACGGCAACAGCCACCACCACACTGGTTTACACAGCTCCGAGTTTCCTGAACGCAACATACTCATAGCTGCTCTGCCATTGGCTTACCGAGCACCATCCTGGCCTCCGATTGGCCAAAAGGGACCTCACTATCTATGTGTGTAGATACTGTAGCTAGATCCATGGAATGCATCCCATTAGCTGCTGTTTTAAAACATTTCTGATACCTCGCCCTGGCTCAGTATCAAATTTAGAATAGGTTCGTTGGAGATAGGCACTCAGAAATGAAACACAAGAGACAAATCTGCTACTAACAAATTGCACGTTTATTAGCCCCACAGAATATGTCAAACAAACAAATATCAGAAACACAAGAGACAAATCTGCTACTAACAAATTGCACGTTTATTAGCCCCACAGAATATGTCAAACAAACAAATATCAGAAACACAAGAGACAAATCTGCTACTAACAAATTGCACGTTTATTAGCCCCACAGAATATGTCAAACAAGCAAATATCAGTGTATCAAGCTCTTAGAATAGTATCCAGCTCTTACCGTGCGTCAATAGGATGGAGAGCCAACACCCCAGGTAGAGCGAGCTTCAATACCAGCTGGGCGTCCGTACGCAACCCGCAGCAGACAGACTCTACCAAGAGTATCCAAAGTTCTCCTTTTATACTCTAAGCGTTTGTTCTTAACAAAGGGCTTTGCTCAACATCATAAACATCTTTTTATGACCTTGCTGGTTATACAAAGCTATTGCGAGTTATTGCGACATTACTGGTTATACAAAGCTATTGCGAAACATCTTTAAACACGGAAAAACAACACAATATAATTATTCTTACTTCATTCCACTCTTGATGTTTTTCCATCATTTCAAATGTAAGCAATCGATTATACAAAAATTATTGGAAAACAACACCAAATCCGACCCTGTTGGGTGGAACAGGGACATTGTTGGGCATATCAAACACTGCTGACAATGAAGTAACGCGAACAATGTTATCAAACACCGGTGAACATGCCTCCAGAGCTCTGCATCAGATAGGCATATGGATGCCGCAATCAATTGTGGGGCAAAAAGAAAACGCAGAGCTTTGGAAAACTATTTTTCACTGGGAATTAAGAATGTGGAATGAAACATACAATGTGTTTCATGATTTGACACATCTCACGAATTGGACGGTATGTAGTTTGCAACACATACACGCAATAACCCAAAAAGAGATATTTCAAAGAATAGTGACATCAAACAATTACAAGGAATGGAGAAGGATTTGGAATATTTCCAGTTCTTTGTGGCTACGACTACACTCAGAATATACGGACTGTGACGAAACCAGATGTACTGGGTATTGGACCCAATACAATGTGACAACAACGAAGGTGGTTTGTAAATATCAAGTTTTACCTGTCATTACGACCTTTAAATCAGACTTATGTGACATGACTTTACATCTGAGATCAAATTTGCTACAGTGAAAAACCCCGTGTTGTGAAAAATTTCTTGCTGCAAACATGATTTCGTTGTAGAGGAGTTTCACTGTAGTCAACGGCTGTGTTCTTAGTTATTGTATTTTTTGTTAAACTTCTTTATATCAGTTTCAGTTTGGGTTTGTTATCACTCCAATAAATTAGCACTCCATTTATGAACAGTTGAAACCAATAGGCTTGTGGGTGTGTCTGTGAGGTCTGTCAAAATACATTTTTTATTTATTTTTTTTAATAGAAATTTAATCTTAGAAATGGATATCCACTGTCTATGACAATGCTTTTTTGCCTATATCACGTTTGAGCTGTAAATTCACTTCCTGAAGTCAACCAACCTCTCCTCAGATGAGCCAAACCAGATTGTCGCAGAGCATGAAATGAGTACACCTGAAGAGGACATGAGCTCAAAGGATGGCACACCTGCCGTTATTGAAGTTCAGGTACAGATGGAATATGTTGCTACAACAGAGGTCTCGCACCCAGAAAATGCAAGTGAAATAGAAGGACACACAAAGCCATCTAGTATTGCAGAGATCCAGGGTGAGTATTTCGTTTGATCATAGCTCGGCTGTTTAGTCAAAGTGGATTGCTGGTACAAATACAGTCTGCATATTGTCAGATCCAGAGGATGTTGAATCAATGGTATTGGAGGACGTTCCTAAAGCATCACACACTTCAATGGAGCTACATCACGCATGGGAGAAGCAAGACCAACCGCCACTGTAACTATTCATCATTTTAAAACTATTAATTCTGATTGTTTTCCAGTCCTGTTATTTATTGAAAATGTTCAATGTTGTCACTGATGGTGTAGTGCAGGAGTGGCCAAACCGCGGCTCGCAAGCCGCATACGGCTCTTTGGCCGGTTCAATGCGGCTCCCGGGCTTTCACACGACAAGCGTCGAAAACTCCTCGGCAGAGCTCAAGACACAGAACGTACTACGTCAGCCTATAATCAGTCCCGTTACTTGATTGACATAGAGGGCAACCAATCAGTTGACTGAATCACTGCAATGCGCAGACAATGGCGCTAAGTGCTTAGTGCTAAGCTAGTCAGCGAATTACCTCTGATTTTAAGGCAGGGGGCCCCAATACGTCGATTGTAATCGACCGGGAGCCAGCAGACTGGTCCCAAGTCGACTGCAAGGGGTGTGAGGAGGAAATGGGTGGGAAAAAATATATATTTTTGTGTTTGTGTCTTGAGCTTTCATTCATGTTCGGGCCCTTTCGGCTTTTGCTCAACGTGGCGTGAATGCATATGTGCGCGAGTGCATGGTTGGGTACCGGCGTGCGTGCGTGCGTGTGTGCGCGCTTTCACGTGCGCGATCGGGTCAATCGTGGAAAGTTGGTTGCTTCAAAAATCGATCTTTGGGCACAATGGTGTGTGTGTGAGCGCGTGCGCGCGTGCGAGGACGGGATGCCCATGTGTATGATGTGGCTCTTTGCAGTAACACAGTAAAAAAATTGGCTCTTAGTCTCTGACTGGTTAGCCACCCCTGGTGTAGTGGTACACTTGCCTGCCTTGTGTGCGGGCAGCGTGGGATCAGTTTCCACTCAGTGGCAGTGTGATTATGGGTGTGGATGGTTGTCAGTCTCTATATGTGCCCTGTGACTGACTGGCGACCGAAGTCAGCTGGGATAGGCTCTAGCAACTCCCCACAACCCTTTTCAGGTTAAGCAGTGTTGAAAATGGATGGATGTTAAATGTTTTCTGACACTGCATGTGCAATATTAGTATATTATATTATTAGTATATTATAGTAATATTATACAGATGATTTAAAATTGTTTTTAGCAGCACTCTTTCTTGTGATTTGTTTTAAAATGATAGGTAGTGAGTGTTTGGATGCAGGTGGCGATTTTGGCAAATTTGATGGAGGTGCAGGTAGACAGATCCTGAGCTCAGCTGAAAGTGTAATGGCTGTATTTCATTCATAAATATGACAGCAGTGTACATTGAACGCTCTGAATCATTGAAGAAGTCAATTAATTCAATACAATGTTATGATCATCTTTTTTATACTTATTAAAACACCTTCCATGGGCCGTGGCTCAGCTATCTCTGTATTTTGAGGTTTCTGTTCCCTCACCTTCATCTTGACAGTGCCCCATATATTTTCAATGGAGATCAAGTCAAGATAGTTTGCTGTGCCCCCCCCCTCTCCCCAAGTTATTCTCATGTTTGTGTATGTATGTAATGTTTGAATACAGTTCAATGTGAACCAGGATTTCATGGCTGTTCCACAGTATGTTAGCAACATCTGTTGGTGAAGGTCTGAGACAACAAGCAGTTGAGAACAGACCAGTTATGTGTATGTACATGCACCTTGATTGAGGCAGCATAAACAAAGCCTCCGAGTCACGTCAGCTGTGTGTTCAGCATTCAGGGAAACCTCTCTTGCGCATCAACATGAAATAACGTGTCTTTCCACAATTTGGGTGCCGAAATAGCTCTAGTTTTTAATTTTATTTTATATTTTAAATACATTTTTGAAGAAAAAAAAAAACAAAAAAAAAACCCCACCAAAGCTCAAAAACATGAAGCGCGAATCTGTTAGGGATCACTCTACTGTTATTGAATTGAAGTGAATTGAATACAACCTTATTGTCAAATGTGCTGTACCATACCCATGGCTTTGAAATCAGATATCGGTAGGTATGGCTTTGTGGCTGGGTGCCAAATCCTGATGAATAATAAAATCATTGTCTCAAAAAAGCCCTTGGCGTGAAGCATCAGGTGCTCTAAAATTCTTGGTTGACAGCTCTGTTAACTGTGGACTTCATAAAAGCCAATGGACCCACACGAGTACCGTATTTTCCGCACTAAAAGGCGCACTGGATTATGAGGCGCAACTTCAATGAATGGCTATTTTGCAATTTTTTTTCATACATTGGACACATCACATTATAAGGCGTAGTTTACAATGCTTCCACTAGATGGTGCTACGCTCCTTCCATTCAACTCAAGAGGCGTCCGTTCAACTCGGGAGGCGTTCATGACCGCCTCTGAAAAACGTAAATTAACTATTACTGTACTCAAATTAAACTACGAAAATTGAAAATAATGCATCAAAACAGAAAATCAAAATAAATTCTATATCCCCCCTACAGAATTTATTTTGTGATTTCCTCGCTTGATTTTCATCGTAGTTTCATTGAAGTAATCATTAATTTACGTTTTCCGGAGGCGGCCATGAACGCCTCTCGAGTGGAACGGAAGTAAAGAAGGCACGAAGACGGACAAAGACGTACAGTGCCTGTATTTGTTGAGACCGTGAAAACCATTAATAAATAATAATAATCATAATAATACATGTCATTTATAAGCGCCTTTCAAAACACTCAAGGACACCTCACAATCAAGACAAGAACAACAAAACCACAGATAAAATTATGATAGATGAATAAAGTCTGCGTTTAAAAAAAAAATTAAACCACAGCTCTCCTTTTTTCAACAAACACAGTTGCGTCTTTGTCCGTCTCCGTGCCTTCTCTTCTTTCGTTCAATTCGAGAGGCGTTCATGACCGCCTCCGAAAAACGCATTGGCATTTCCTTGATTATAGCTCCAACAGAACTATCAGATGTCAGTCGTAGTTATTTATTCCTTTGTTGTGTATTCACAAATGATGAAATCACAATATAAATTCTGTAGGGTAGGGGGGGGGGGCTATAGAATTTATTTTGTGATATCCTCACTTGCTTTTCAGTTTTGATGTATTATTATCAAGTTTCGTAGTTTCATTGAAGTAATCAGTTTACGTTTTTTGGAGACGGTCTTGAACTCATCTCGAGTTGAACTGAAGAACAGAAGGCACGGAGACGGACAAAGACTTACCTGCATTTGTTGAGACTGTTTTAAAAAAAACACCACAGCTCTCCTTTTTTCGGAGCCGCAACAAAAACGTATTTAATAAAGCAGCGACATCACTGAACCAACAGCAAGTTATAACATTAGAAGCATCTCTCCAGGAAGGAGCCATCTTGGAGTCGATGTATTTCCGTAATGACCATGCACAAGACGCACCGGATTTTAAGGCGCTCGGTGAGCTTTTAAGAAAATGGAAGACTTTTTGGTGCGCCCTATAGTGCGGAAAATACGGTAAATGATATTGCCTCCCCACTCCATTACTGCGGAGGTGGTTTTACAAGGTGGCAAGGGGTGATAGCTGCCACCTTCACCAAATATTTTGTCACCCTACTATTGGCAATGAAACATTCAAGTAAAAATTTGATTGTCAATTTTCCTTAACTTTTTTTCCTCTGTGCACAAAAAGTGTGTTTTGCATTTACTCCCGCTGCGATCCCTCCCTCACTTCTTGCAAGACGAAATGGTTGCATCCTACTGTACCACCAATTACAGTGAAACTCCTCTAGAACGAAACCTACATGGGCGAAAATACCCCCTTGTGTGAAAAAATCTTCATGCATTAACATAATTCCCATTCTCCTGCCCCCCATACGACGAAAACCCCCTGTTGCATTTATACGAAATCATTTTCTCTGCTCCAGCCTCGCAAAGACATTCACTACAACGAAGT